TCACGTAACAATTACCTTTAAAAATTACAAAAGAATAACATACAAGTTTATATATATATATATATATATATATATATATATATATATATATATATATATATATATATATATATATATATAATATATAAAGTGCAAAGAGAAGGTATCTCATTTTTTAAGTACACACTGTGTTGGTCACTGCTCTTCACGCCACTAAGAGTATTCATTATGCTCCTTAACACTACAAATATTATATATCATGATGGTTCCTGAATCATCACTCCCGTGGCTCGGTCTCATGACCTACCTGGAAGTAAAAAATTACACACTCTGGAGCACCTTAAAAAAGTGAGTTTATGTAAGGAGAAATGAGACGAGGAAATATTAAACAATCCTTCCAGAGTGTAAAACGTTTAACAGACTTTCGTTTCACACCTATATGAAAGGATGGTAGTGCTTCCCTAGATGGTTTTACTATGTATCAACCTCAATCAGTCGAAACACATAGTGAAATAAAAATGATTTTGAAAACTAACCAGTTGAAGAATTAGACACTTGTGCGACATCTGGGAATCTTTATTGAGGAAACGTTTCGCCAGCCATTGACTGACTGATTACCTCAATCTCATTTTCCATCGTTATTCTCTATATTGGACCGAAGAAGCTATTGGCTATCGAAACGTTTTCTCAGTAAAGATTTTCAAATGTCGCACAAGTATCTCATTCTTCAAGTAGTAGTGAAAACCGAGAATGACAATGCAATCATTCTTGTATACTAACCACCAGACACAAATGTTCAGCTGTTCGAAGATCAGCTTCGAAAAACTTAATAAACTCGAAAACTTGATAAACTCATCTACGAACATCATCTTGTTCAGGGTTGTCTATTAGAGACACCTAAAGGAAGACAGCCACAGGCCACAGTCCAGATCAACAGTAATATATAGGGAAATTAATATATACTCCCACTGTTAGCAAATATTAGGACCACCTCAATGCACAGATATCCTTGACTATATACCAAATTATGATTTGGTACATGGGTGTTTCAAAAAGATAGACCCACTTTCATATGTTGTGAAATTGGGTCGTGTGTGACAGTGTGTCACACACCCAACTCTTACTGAAGCCTAATTAAAATCCAGACATGCAGAACAAGGCAAGTGAGAAGCCTAATATATGGAAAACAAGACAGACGCAGTATAATGCGATTCCTCATTGACGATTTCTCGCCCACACGGTGAGCTTTATCAAGCCACAGAGAGATCTGATCTGTGTGTGACCTGATTAAGCCCAATGAGTGAGCGAAACGTTGCCAATAAAGGTTCGTATTATACTACATTTGTGTGTCCTTTCATTGAGTTGGTATTTTTTAGCACTACTCACCAAGCCTAACACACATCGGAGTGTGTTCAACTCCAACAACAAACGCAAGAGTACTAACGTCACCATCAACGCCACAAGAGTATTAACGTCACTATTAACGCCACAAGAGTACCCAAGTCACCATCAACATCACAACAGTACGAACGTCACTATCAACACACGAGTACTAACGTCACAATCATCTACACAACACAAGAGGTAAACACACTCTCAGGTAATTTTACGCCCAAATTCACAAAAACACTCTTGTTGTCATTGACATGTTTGTGTGACGGTGGTCGACTCCCCTCCCACCCCACACATTACTTCCCCTCACCATCCACTCCCTCCCTTCACCCACCCTGACTCCCCATTCCCCAGTACAAGACTCGCATGTTTTTTTACGACCTCAACCTTGACCATAGCGACCTCTTTATTTCCCCGGGACGATGACCTTGACCAAAGGCACTTCTTTCCTTCCTCGGTTATGGATATTAGTAAGGCTGATATATATCATAGTCTCCCTCATTTATTACGCCCCTTTCCTCTCAGCATTGACCCTAATAATATATCCATTACTTCTCTCTCCTTTACGTTCACTCAGCATCATACCTCTCCCTTCCTGCTTGGGAAGTTCCGATTTATATTTGCTTCTCCAGGACTCCATGTACAAAAACTCACTTGTTTGTTCCGACCTTACGCTCTCTTGAACACTTTCAGTCTCATTCTAATGCCACAGCAGTATACACGGATGAGTTTTAAGTCCCAGGTGCTTCCGGGTGTGCACCTGCTTTTCCAGGAAGAATAATATGAAGTCATTTACTAGAGTCGAGATCATTTACTACAGCTGTATACAATTCTGTAACATTACGACCATGTCCGCCTCCTCGTGCATCACGTTTCAGACTCCCTAAGTGAGTTAAAAGCTATCCAGAAATTAGGCGAGAGAGATACATGATAATATACACTACAATTGGAAGGTCCTGGAGGGATTGGTACCAAACCTGCAAGCGAAAATCACTCCCTGTGAAAGCAAAAGACTCGGCAGGAGATGCAACATTCCCTCGATGAAAAGCAGGGGCGCCACGAGTACACTGAGAGACAACACAAAAAGTGTCCAGGGCCCAAGACTGTTCAACTGCCTCCCAGCATACATAAGGGGGATTACCAACAGACCCCTGGCTGTCTTCAAGAAGCCACTGGACAGGCACCTAAAGTCAGTACCTGACCAACCAGGCTGTGGTCCGCACGTCAGCTTGCGTGCGGCCAGCAATAACAGCCTAGTTGATCAGACCCTGATCCACCATGAGGCCTGGTCTCAGACCGAGCCGCGGGGGCGTTGACCCCGAAACCCTCTCCAGGTAAACTCCAGGTAATCCCATCAACCTTCGTGTATAACTTTAATTATAATTAAGACACATGTGCAACAGTTGGCCATCTTTATTGTTGAAATTCTTCGCTTAAAGAACAGGCTTCTTCAGTTAAATACAGAGGCAGCAGTTGTAGCAGTGAAATAAAGATGATGCAATCAGTCCATCAACCATGGCGATATGAGGTGGTCAGTCCCTGACCACCTCATATCGCCATATCTCATATCTCCCCTCCGCTCACATAAAACGCACATGGGCACACCCCTCTACTTACATAAAACGCACATGGGTACACCCCTCTACTTACATAAAACGCACATGGGTACACCCCTCTACTTACATAAAACGCACATGGGTACACCCCTCTACTTACATAAAACGCACATGGGTACACCCCTCTACTTACATAAAACGCACATGGGTACACCCCTCTACTTACATAAAACGCACATGGGTACACCCCTCTACTTACATAAAACGCACATGGGTACACCCCTCTACTTACATAAAACCCACATGGGTACACCCTCTACTTACATAAAACGCACATGGGTACACCCCTCTACTTACATAAAACGCACATGGGTACACCCCTCTACTTACATAAAACGCACATGGGTACACCCCTCTACTTACATAAAACGCACATGGGTACACCCCTCTACTTACATAAAACGCACATGGGTACACCCCTCTACTTACATAAAACGCACATGGGTACACCCCTCTACTTACATAAAACGCACATGGGTACGCCCCTTTACTTACACAAAACGTACATGCGTAATCGCCCCTGGCTGCACACGAAACACGTGTGTATACCTTCGCCCATACGAAGCACACATGTACACCAGACTGCGTACAGGAAACGCACATGTACACATTATTTTGGTCACTGGTTAATATATTCTAGGCATGGACTCGGAATTAGTTAGTTTTTAAGAGCGGCAGCGGCATCAGCACGAAGAAGGAGACCTGCCGCACTCATGCGTATATTTGTTGAGTTGTGGATGCAGGCAGACAAGTGTTGAATACGATGACTACAGTCATCAATGAACTCTGAGACGATGACTCCAGCATGCTTCTATCACGGTCAACAATAGTTATCAGTGAACACAGCAACATTGGCACGATGACTGGTACCTTAACCTTTGATGGGTTTCGAGAGTTTTCCTACTCCAGCAGCCTAGGTCATGCTTATCATGCATGGGCCAGTAGGCCTTCTACAGTGTTCCTCCATTCTTATGTTCTTATGACATTCCTCAGGTCACGTGCGTCACATCTCACTCTCCGCCTATATATATATAATGTCTTTCTACCTTTGTATGTTAGAAGTGATCAAGGTCCCAGGACCGAAACGTTTTCTAATAAATATGTTATAGTGTTTGCTTACGTGTCTTTCTAAACCATCTGGTGTTTGTCTGACCAACCAGGCTGTTGCTATTGGCGGCCAGCTGGCCCACATATCCGTCACAACTTGGTTCATCCGGTATTTGTCCCAGCAGTGTTTCTGATATCTTCTTGTAAAATGTTACAGCCAAAGGCATTGCGGGGAAGGTAGGCGGATGGATTTTCGGGTTCCTAACACACACAACACAATGAGGTAAAAAGTTCAGTGCCCCAAGGCACTGTCCTGGCACCTCTGCTGTTTCTCATCCTTATAACAGACATATAAAAATACCCGTCACAATTTTGTATCATCATTTGCAGACGACACTAAAATAAGCATGAAAGTCACTACTGTAGAAGACACTGAAAAATTACAGGAAGATATAAGCAGTGTTTTCCAGTGGGCAGTGAAGAACAACATGACGTTCAGTGGTGACAAGTTCCAGCTACTTAAGGATGGAAAGAATGATAAATTCGAACGAAACACTGTATATAATACTCAAGAGGACCGTCAAATAGAATGAAAGGAACAATGAAAGACTTACCCGGAGGAGGGGGATGATTCCAGGAGTCAACGCCCCCGCGGCCCGGTCCGTGACCAGGAATAATTATGTCAGCTGACCTTCCTTTCAAAGAACACAATAAGACAAAGGTCACGACGGCCAGGAGGATGACGGAATGAGTAATGAGAACTTTCAAAACAAGGGAAATAATGCCAATGGTGATACTTTTCAAATCGCTAGAGCTCCCTCGTTTAGAATATTGTTCAGTGTTGACGGCCCCGTTCAGAGCAGGAGAAATATCAGAGCTGGAACAAGTACAGTGATAGTTTACGGTCGCATAAAGCCAATAAATTATTTAAATAACTGAGAACGACTTAAAGTCTTAAATACGTACTCAATGGAGCAGAGGGCCTGGTCCCGAATCCGCACACTGCGAAAAAACATACTATATCAAGAGATATATGAGGAAATGCAAAATAAACCCAGTGAAAAACAGGGGTGTAGTGGGAACAATAAGGGAACACTATCAACATCCGGGGCCTCAGATTATTCAACATCTTACCAGAAGATATCGGAAACACTGCTGGAAAAAGTGTATAAGTCTTCAGGGGAAAACTGGGCATCTTCACCAGGTACCAGATCAACCAGGTTGTGATGGATATGTGGGTCAGCGTTCCTCCAGCAGCAACAGCCTGGTTGACCAGGCTAGCACCAGACGAGCCTGGCCATGGCCGGTCTCCGGGAGTAAAAAGTCTCTCGAAACTCACCGAAAGTAAAGGTACGGATGCTGATACAATGTTCTCTTATTGTGCCCACAGCGCCCCTGCGTTTTACTGAGTTTATTCTACACAGTCGCCCATATCTCACTCTGATATGTTATTATGGCAGTGTGCAGTTTTAGGGCCAGATCCTCAAGTACCTTCTATGTATATATTAGCATATATCTTTCCGCGGATTCATTGAGTACACATTTAGGACTTTGAGACGTTCCCCAGTAATTTAAATGCCTTATTAGGCTTATGAAGGCCATAAATAATCTCTGTATGTGTTCCAGCTCTGATAACTTCTCTCTCTCTGTTGCCCTGAACAGCTAAACAACTCGTTCCTATGTTATATCCCATCACAGGATAGTGCTCTTACATGGTTTTGAAATATGTCAGCTTAAGCTGGGAGATTTCAGTACTGTCACCCTAAGCTGGGAGACTACAGTAGTGTCAGCTTGAGCTGGTAAACTTCAGTAGTATCAGTCTGACATGAAAGACTGCAGTAGTGTCAGCCTAAATTGGGAGATTTCAATTATCTGAGCCTGAGCCAGAAGACTTCAGAAGTGTCAGCTTGAGCTGGGAAACTTCAGTAATATCAGCCAGAGATGGGACAAAAAAAACACATGACCACGTTTCAGTCTGACTTGTACCATTAACTAGACACACTAACACGTGAAGGTAAGAGCCAGTATATATAGGAGAGGAGGGCAGGGACAAGAGAGAGGAAGAAGGAAGTGGAGAAGTAATGTTGGTAGTGGAAGCAGTAGTAGTGGTGGTAGTAAATAGGGGGAGTAGTGGTAGTGGCACAAGAAGCAGAAAGGGGAGTGAAAAGAAGAAGAAGAAGAAGAAGAACTAGTAGTAGTGAAGAAGTAATAGTAGTAGTAGTAGTAGTAGGAACAGAAGTGGAGTAAATCTAAGGACAAGCAAAGAAGCACTGTAAGAGAGGTAATGGCCTAGGAGGGTAGGACCAAAAACACAGGAAAAAAAACCCGAAGGGCAGAACACATTTAGGAGAAGAAAGGATAAGATCAAGTGTTCTGAAGTTTGGAACATTTGACAGTGTAGTGAGAAAGCCAGGACTAAGATTCATACTAAGACAGTTGTATATAAGGGATGCTTCACAAGACGACGACTGTGATGGCTAGAAGAAGAATAGACAGTTTTAGCAGAGGACTAGTCAATAGGACGACTGTGATCTCTAACATGACAAATAAGAGCATTATTGGTGTCAGCAAGTCTAACATTTCTTTTGTGCTCTCCAAGTCTGTCAGAGAGAGAGAGGCCAGTTTTTCCAAAGTATTGACGAGGATAAGAGGAGAATGAAACAGAGTAGACTCCGGAGGAATGAGTAGCAGAAATACGAACCAGATTACTGTGAAGGATGTTAGTTCGGCGAAAATTAAGTTTGATGTCTAAGGAACGGAAAGAGTTGTTGAAATTAGAAAGACTGGAAATATAGGGAAGGTAGAGAACAGGAGATTTCACAGCAGAAGATAATCTGGGAGAGAAGAGAGTCCGTTTAGCACATGAGAAGGCAGAGTTTATGAAATCGGAAGGATAGCCAAGACGAGAGAACGAATTGCAGTGGAAATCTCCGAGTCAAGGAACTGGGGGGTCACAAATGCGGAGGTCACGGAGAAAGAAATAAAAACAATTCTTGACAGACGAAGCATGGTAAGAAAAGTAGTATCTATCTTATTTTCTGGAGAGACTGGCCGCTCTCTTTTAGTAATTTGGAGAAACTGGTCTCTCTCTCTTTCTGACAGACTTGGAGAGCACATAAGAAATGTTAGACTTGCTGATACCAGTAATGCTCTATTTTGTCATGTTAGAGATCACAGTCATCCTATTGACTGGTCCTCTATTAAAACTGTCTACTCTTCTTCTAACCATCACAGTCACCGAGTTGTTGAAGTATCCCTTATACAAAACTTTCCTAATACGAATCTTAGTCCTGGCTTTGTCTCTGTAGATGCCTTCCTTTCCCATTACATTGTCAAATTCTTCAAACGTATATCATAAGTATCAAAAAGTAATGACATGGTCAAGTATTCCAGCAAAAGTTCATCATCTACGACAGCTTCGAAGGTTTCCTTCCAGCAGAGTTGCAGTTACTGTCACTTGGTAATTACCAGCTTCCAACAGAGCTGCAGTTACTATTACTTGGTAATTACCATCTTCCAGCAGAGTTGCAGTTACTATCACTTGGTAATTACCATCTTCCAGCAGAGTTGCAGTTACTATCACTTGGTAATTACCATCTTCCAACAGAGTTGCAGTTACTGTCACTTGGTAATTACCATCTTCCAACAGAGCTGCAGTTACTATCACTTGGTAATTACCATCTTCCAACAGAGCTGCAGTTACTATCACTTGGTAATTACCATCTTCCAGCAGAGCTGCAGTTACTATCACTTGGTAATTACCATCTTCCAGCAGAGTTGCAGTTACTATCACTTGGTAATTACCATCTTCCAACAGAGTTGCAGTTACTGTCACTTGGTAATTACCATCTTCCAACAGAGCTGCAGTTACTATCACTTGGTAATTACCATCTTCCAACAGAGCTGCAGTTACTATCACTTGGTAATTACCATCTTCCAACAGAGCTGCAGTTACTATCACTTGGTAATTACCATCTTCCAACAGAGCTGCAGTTACTATCACTTGACAATTACCACTTCTCAGGATAGTCTATCCCATGGTCGGGAAGGTTACGTGGGAAAAGGTGGGTGGGGAGGTAGGCTGGGGTAGGAGGTGACTTTGCAGGTGGCCGGAGGAAGGTGATTGGAGGCCCAGGTGAATGTCAAGGTGTCAAGGCTGAGTGTAAACATAACCCACGCCATTTGAGAAGCATGAAACCCACCCCTGGATGCTTGACAGGCAACCCACTGACACCCTGTGTGACAGAGAGCCCACTGACACCGTGTGGGTCCAACCTACAACACACCTACTCAAACGAGATCCTTTTTCCTTCCAGAGGAGTATATCTCTCCGTGTACATACACTCAGAAGTATCTCAAGTGTATACACAACTGTGTATACAGAACTGTGTATCTCTCAGTGTACCTACATCGAGAGGACTATCTCTGTGTATAAACAATATGTTTACTGAGAAGTATTCTTGATGTTAGTGTACAGGTCATTACCTGCCTTAATGATCCAAGAGCAGTCGCCAAGCTTTAATGTATAATCAAAGACAACATATCATTAACTTTTAACTTTCCAGAGAACGACAAACAATGACGAGGTACGTCATAACGAGGGCAATAAACAAATGCAAAAGGAGGCACAACAACAACTGAACAATGAATAAGAACAAAACATCATAACGGGGGCAACAAACAATGACTAAGTACAACAAACAAATGAACAATGACGAAGTACATCACAACTAAGACAACAGACAAATGAACAAGGATGTGCAACACACCATGACATCAACAAACACATGCGTAGATGACAAACAAACAGAAGAACGTGAAGATCTACCTGGATTCTACTTGGAGTCTACCTGGAATATACCTGGAGTCTACCTGGAGGGTGTTCCGGGGTCAGCGCCCCCGCGGCCCGGTCCACAACCTGGCCTCGTGGTGGACCAGGACTTGATCAATCAGGTTGTTATTGCTGGCCGCACTCTATCCAACGTACGAATCACAGCCTGGCTGGTCAGGTACTGACTTTAGGTATCTATCCTGTGTTGTATACTAGTCATGAAGGGACATGTAGTGTTGTGTACTGGTCAAGAAGGGACGTATAGTGTTGTGTACTGGTCAAGAAGGGACGTATAGTTTTGTGTACTGGTCATGAAGGGACATGTAGTGTTGTGTACTGGTCATGAAGGGACATGTAGTGTTGTGTACTAGTCAAGAAGGGACGTATAGTGTTGTGCACTGGTCAAGAAGGGACGTTTAGTGTTGTGTACTGGTTATGAAGGGACGTGTAGTGTTGTGTACTGGTCAAGAAGGGACGTGTAGTGTTGTTTACTGGTCAAGAAGGGACGTTTAGTGTTGTGTATTGGTTATGAAGGGACGTGTAGTGTTGTGTACTGGTCAAGAAGGGACGTGTAGTGTTGTGTACTGGTCATGAAGGGACGTGTAGTGTTGTGTACTGGTCAAGAAGGGACGTGTAGTGCTGTGTACTGGTCATGAAGGTACGTGTAGTGTTGTGTACTGGTCAAGAAGGGACGTGTAGTGTTGTGTACTGGTCATGAAGGGATGTGTAGTGTTGTGTACTGGTCATGAAGGTACGTGTAGTGTTGTGTACTGGTCATGAAGGGACGTGTAGTGTTGTGTACTGGTCAAGAAGGGACGTGTAGTGCTGTGTACTGGTCATGAAGAGGTATGTGTTAGTCAGAGTTGTGTGTACTGGTCAGAAGGGATGTGTAGTGTTGTGTACTGGTCATGAAGGTACGTGTAGTGTTGTGTACTGGTCATGAAAGGACGTGTAGTGTTGTGTACTGGTGATGAAAGGACGTGTAGTGTTGTGTACTGGTCATGAAAGGACGTGTAGTGTTGTGTACTGGTCATGAAGGGACGTGTAGTGTTGTGTACTGGTCATGAAGGGATGTGTAGTGTTGTGTATTGGTCATGAAGGGATGTGTAGTGTTGTGTACTGGTCATGAAGGGACGTATAGTGTTGTGTACTGGTCATGAAAGGACGTGTA